ACTATTTTCGATCTTTCCTTTATAGAAATATCTTTTTGCGCAGTAAAGAACCGAAAACGGGACGAAGATGTTTCAGACAGCGGGAAGTGCATTCGAGATTTCGAGTGCGACTCTCTTTCTCATTTTTGGCTTTAGTCCTAAGTCGATTCTTTTCCTTCTCCCTTGAGCGACTGCAGATGACGTTGATTCAATCTTGTTTACGAGGAGAAAGCGGCTGAGGGCGGGTGGGGGATGATGGCTCGTAATGGGTATTCGGCAAAGAATATATTTTTCAAGCATACGTGCCGCACATATCGGCTATGCGATGGACAAGGGGACGGGCAGAAAAGAGGAAGTCCGGGTATTCTACATCGCGTACGTGATACGCCTTTCTCACGAGTCCTCCAGCTGCAACGAAACTCGTCCGCGGCACCCAACGTATACGACGTCACCGTGTCACCGACGTCCCGTTCGCATCCAAGTCGTATTGCGCGCGCGCAGTCTTCACGGAAACGAAATTGAGTCTCGCCAGCCATTTACCGGGACTTGGGAGACTGATCGAAAAAGGTCTGGGAATTCCTTTCCTGCCACATAGTTTCGCGCGATTCGTGACTCGCAGTCGACGCAACAGCAATCGACGCTGCGGCGACCTTTTGCGCGACGACGTATAAAGCGGAACTTTTAAAACGTTTAACATTAAATTAAGTTTCTTTATTTAATGATTTTAATGATCTGTTAATACTTTTCTACGATATATACGAATCTCGTCGAGTCCCATCAAATCGAATTGATTTCGAATTACACACATTTAATTTTTTTTAAATAGATTAGCGAATTTACAAATGTGTTTTATTTCTCTCATTTTTTTGTAGGTTTTCTCTGATAAAGGAGCATTTAGTTGAATTCAATCAATTGGCGATGGCGAACGCGGAGGGTTCGGACAACATGTTGAATCGAGTTATGCCCAAAGACAACATCGGACTGGCTGCATTACTTAGAACTAAAGAAGCCGCTTGGGACAACGGTGAGTAGACGCGAAATCAATATATCTTCTCCATATAGCACTTTCAGTTTGAACTTGATTCGAGCTTGATGTACTTGATATTCATGTATTATTCAAAGATTCTTATCTGTTTGAAGCTATTGATTGTGTAAAATGTAATTATTTAAACGTAATACTTATCTACATGATATATTCGTACACAAACTTTGGTATATAAACGGTTCAAATAACTTGTAAAATTATTTTTAAATTTATCGAGTCGAAACATTTGTTCAAAATTCGACAAGAAATTCTATTCTGCAAGAGTCGACAGAATTCTTAAACGAATCACATTATCGCGAACATGAATAGAGCATCTATTCACATATCTGTCTTAACATGCAGAAATAATGACGAAACGAGGAAGAGTTAAAGATAACGCGAACGATCTGTGAAAATAAAAGGAAGGCAGTGACAGAGTTTCGATGCTAACTAAGCGTCCGCTCGTTTCACATACGCTCACAGTGAATCACTCGTATCCAGCCGCGTGTTTGCACACCCTGAAACACGAAAGTAATTAACGCGCCGGTCTCTCGGTAACCGATGAAGCCGCCGGACTACTATCGGACGCGCAATATACAGAAGTCCGCGTTTTCCCCGCTGCTCGCCGGTTAGGGAAGCGCGCTCTCGATCGATTGAAGCGAGTAAATCGAGCACAATGCTCTGATTCGGTATACATCCACAGGATGACCTTTCCGCCGCGCTATGTATTTATATGTATCTCCGATCTCGAAATCGCCGATTGTTCGTTTGACAGAAATATCCAACGATTAATCATTTTCATTATTGAGATCTGGATATTATAAAATTATACGGTTGTGTTCCAATTGTCAAAATTTACTTCTCATTTTATCGCGTATAGATACATATTAGTTATTATATAGATAGATATTAATTGCAAAATTTTAATTGAACGATAAATCGTGCAATTGTTCAAAGTTGAAATTGATAAAGGCAGCGCGTTTTAATCAAATCTTTCGAAGAAGGAGTGTATCAGCCCTGAATTTACGCCTCCTGTTGAATCGGCTTGTTAAAGTCAAGGCACCTTATATCGATGTATCGCGGAATGCGCGAGCAAACCAGACTCTCGAGATTTATATGGTGGCCCAAAGGTCGAGAACGGCTCTTACGGCTCACTCTGACGCGTCGGAACGTGCTCTCGTTAATGAGCCATTACTCGCGTTACATTAATCCATACCGGGAGCGCAACGACCGGCCGGGAAAAAGCTGCGGACTCTTTGCGCTCTGGCGCGAGGGGTAATCGATCGCGTGTGCGAGACCGGCGATTCTCCTCGCAGCCTCCTGTGCGTTTCCTGCACTGCGGTTAGCACCTGGTTAGCTTCTCGTATATCGGAAGTTATTACTATCGCGGGATGGATTTTATATGTATGGCGGATGCTATATCAAATCATCTCGGAGTGTTTATAATTTTTGTGCAAATACAGTGCGCGAATGTTGGCATAAATATACATATTATTACGAATAAAAGTTTTTACAGACGGCTGTGAATTTGCAAATTTTCGAGTACGGAAAAACATTCGCTACTACGATGAAATATTCTCACAAACGTTTATAAAAGTGTTGACGCGTAATGTAGAGCGAGTAATTAACCAAATACTAAATTTTCGGATAAAACTTGAAAAGCGCTTGCTATTGCGTGTAAACATTTTACAGACGTCTGTGAAAATGTTCATTCTTAATATTCGCAAGCATTTTTCAAGTCCTTGAAAATGTGAAAATCTCTGATCTCCGCCTCGAGTATTTCCGCGCGAATGAGATTAATTCGGTCGCCTCTGACGAGAACTTATATATGACTTGCGGCAGTTCTGAGCGGCAACTTCTCCGAATTTCGCGGATATATGCGCATTGCGTTGCATTTCGCGCTTTGAAACCGTCGCTCCTTAGTTTCCTTAGATATACTTAAGACTTGGCCAATTGAGTAATCAGAACACGGTATAAAGCAACTAAGCTGGCAGCGTTTAGGCTGAATAAACAGCCCGATCAAATATAGCCGAGTATGTTCATTACTCTCTCGATGAATGTTAATATACTTAGTATTTCTGCATTTCGAGCTAATTAATCCCTTATGTTGTTTTATCATCCTCTCTATCCGGGCAATGGTGTCGTAATTTTGTCACGTCGTAGTGCGGAAGATGTTTAATATCGAAGATTTTCAAGAAAAATTTTCTCAGAAAATAAAACGTTCATAATAGAAAGGATACTCATAGGTCGATGTTTCACCGTAAAGATGGATGCGCTCACGCCAAGAGAGAGAAAGTGTGTGTGTGTGTGTGTATCGAGATTAGATCTCGATCGAGGAGCTAAAATCATGTAACCATGCCAGTGGGGCGCGATTAATGATCCCTCTCGCACGAATACGATCGAGTTCGAGACACATCCTCGCCTTATGTGGGACCGAGCTGATAGGTGAAAAAGATCGCCCGTTCCGAGGGAACGCGAAGCTCCATGGTCGCGAACTAATAGTGTACCATCGACCGCACTAATAGTCTGATATCAGCTGCCGGCGCACGATGAACGATGCGCCGTTTGGAGATATAAGGAGAGCGAGCGAGCGAGCGAGCGGATCGTTTATCGCGCGCGCGAGATTTGCCAGATTCTTTTCCGCGTGCGGAAATTTAAAGGCGGCACCGGAGAAACGTTAATCATTCCTTATGCACAGTCTTCTCCAATAGCGTTCTTCTAGTTTCTGAGCGATAGCACAACGATCATAATGATGTCGCACTTTCATAAATAAATGTACGTCGTACAATTCCGTGATGTAATATATCTCACATACGAGAGTAATATTGCCAGGATATTTTGATTATGTATTATAATTAGTGCAACTATTTTATTTATGCAGAATATTCAGCGAATGTCCTTTTAAATTTTACGCCCATCCCCTTTTTTCTCGCCCTGGGACTAAAAAGCCAACCCGGCTTTACGCGCGGTTAACCGGCTGAAAGTTTTCTCCGGGTAAAACGCTGGTGAATTCGTTTGGATCCCACGGGATTATTCCGTGCCGCCGAGGATATAGCGGTCGTCCGACGAACGGGACGCATTTAGATACGACGCGGCGATACGAAGTATCGAATTTCTCGGCGGTAAGGAAACACGGGAGAGCTCAATTATTCGCAAAGTAATCAACCGCCGCGCGATTACGCTCGGAAAATTAGAATGAAAGCTTTAAAAGAAGACATAAACGTATTCAAGCGATATTAAAATAAAACGAACTAATATTACGTAAACAATTCACTGTTTAGTTACTAAAAAAAGGCAATGCAAACTTGAATTTGAGACTTGAGAAAAGTATTCTTATCTTGAGAGAAATTTGCTTTTTTCCAACAACAACAACGCTGATAAAATCTTACAAATGTTTTCGATTTCTATTTCGAATCACACTATTGTTTTATTCGGAGTCTGTATTTTTCGAAGAAGAAAATATCCAAAAATGTACAGTTCGACGGGAGTTACAAACACAAATATAGCGAGTCTATCAAACTAATTTATAAGATATATTTTTGTCTATTACTGATTGTTGAAGAGTCACACATAATAAATAACGCTTCAGAATATTATCATTCTTTTTAACAATTGGAAACTTGAGAAGATGAATAGATTCCAAGTTTTATCGTCTGCGTATATATGTACGTAGATATACATGATAGATGTATTATGATATTCATGAACTATTTATATCAAAAAATTGATTAACAAGTGAGTTGCCTTTTTCTGAAGAGGAAAAACGCGTTCATTTAAAGCATGGATATGTTCGTGTCATGTAGCGTTACGAATGATTCGTATTTCCGTGACCTCGTTGGAATCGACAGATAAATCGTCGGGTAATTGAATTCGCGAGCGAGCGAGCGAATAACCACGAGAACCACGCCACACGTCGTTCGTTCGTTACACGCGGGACACCTTGTCGCTTAATTAATCGCGCTCGCGACGCGATGCATCCCGCGAGAAGAGTACATTCGCTTCGGAAGCGCGTTCGTATTCTCGCCCGAGGCAGATAAAGTAGTAGCAGTAGCCTCTTTCTCTTTCTCTCTCGCTCGCGAGCTTATAATTCGCACAGGTTGCAGAGATGCCAGGACACCAATCCTATCTCGAATGAGCATCTCCCGAACGAACGTTCCTCCGTGTGTGTCGCTCCATCTGATTTTTTTACACAAATATATTGAACTGCCGCGCACTGAAAAATGCATAACTATGCACTGTACGTATGATAAGTGCGCACTTTAAGCGTGGGTTTTGCATTTTTCATAGATGTAATATATCCTCTTACAGATTGTTCCAATGATATATGTACATATGTATCATAGACAATTATTGTTGATATTTATCTATTATTATTACAGCCATTATTTCAATATATTATGATTCATTATTATTAATATAACGATATAAAATAAAATTTGATTCGGAAATAATTACGTGAAATTTTGATTCTTCATATTTAATTGAAGCTGCGAAAGATTAAATCTTCACATAATTTGATGTTTTGAAATATCTTGCGGCTTCGTTGGAGAATTGACATTTCAAGTTACTCATTAAACATATGATGATTTAATTGGATTGATGACTTTTAAGTGATGTCCGCGACGACCAAGTGATTCTTTTTGATTTTTGAAATGACGTTCATAATCATTCACCGACGCATACCGGATGTATTATTCTGATATGCATATTAATGCAAAGTGAGGGGTGAGAGAGTCATGTAAAGCAGCATGGCAATCATAGAGATAAATCTGATCGCTAATGACGCACTGGCATTTAATTATTTTACATATTATAGTTCTGCAATCCAGCATCGTGTTTTTTTTGTATTTATTATTTTGTAATTATTTCCACGCATTTTTTTATGTTTTTAAATTCAGGCAAGATCAAAAATATTCTATTTTTGATCATTTACGCTATATATAATTCTTATTAACTTTGATATATTTTAAATATTTTAAAAATTAGTCAAACATTAATGTGAACATTTTCCAGATAAATTCTTTAAAAATATTTGTATGGAACTTTCCTACGATTCCTATCTTTTATAAAAGTCAGGTCGGTTCGATTACAGCATGACTCGTGCCACCTATAAAACCTTCTCTTGTCCAGGGACATTCGCGGGAAAGAGGGGGAGAACCGATATTGATTCTCTTAGTAATTTACGAGACGGCTCTCGGCTCGACCCGGTGCCTGCCGGTTCGTGGGTTCGATTGTCGTACAACCGCCATAGTAGGCACCTTAACCCTCTATTCTAATCTGGTCTGATTTACACCCCGAAATATCCGTATTGCTGATGGCGAACAGCCGTTTTACCAACTCCCTTTAATCCTACCGCGTTACGCAATATGAAACGTTGTAGTAGTGCTCTCACCGTGGATTTCAAGTTAGCAGCTAGAATATTTTATTGCTTGTAATGCAAACATTGAAATTATTTTAGCTTCTTTTTTGGTGGAAAACTTTGTGTAGGTATTTTATCTATTATTTTGTACTCAATATAAAAAAAAACTGAATAAGCGACGAAATGGACAATTTAAGTTTAAAACACGAATCTAATATTGAAATTTTTTTTATTTCAGTATTAATAATTTGTATATATACACATTGTGCGTCCTATCAATTGACTGGTCCTTGTTTTTTTTTTTTTTTTATTTATTTAATTTGTTTTGCAAAAATCAAATTTATACTTGTAAAATACTAATACCAAAGTACCATAAATATATACAATAACATAATAAATGACACAGTAATGTAATATAAAAAGGAAACTTTTTATCGTCATATATCTCCTGAGATTTAAAAATAATCACTTTACACTTTGAACAAACCCCCGAAGGCCGGATCGCAGGTTTTATCCGCAAGACAAGCGATTCTTGCGGGATGTCGCCTGCGAAAGAACGTAGTGTGGAAGATTGGGAAGGCAAAGCGAAACAGCTGCTTGAGTAGGGTTAATCTGTAAAGTCCGATAGTAAAAGCGGATTCTCGCGGGCGCAATTAAACGGCGGATTTACGATATTGTGTTCGAGAGGACAGAGTATGCTTCTTGGATCTCACACGGGGGTATTAAATAACGATTTTGCGCCCGATAATCCCGGAGAGAATCGGAGGGGATCGCCACGGGAACTTGAAGAATTGCGAAGAAGAACTTAAGCACGTTTAATCCTCAGGGATGGATGCGATTTTTGCAATAAAGCCAATTGCTTTCGAAGATTTGTAATTTATATTAAAAACTTTCCATATAAAATGTCCTAATTCAATTAAAGTTGTTATATAATAAAAGAGTTTAAATAAATAAACATCTCAATTTTTTAAATAAAACATTATAAGTATTATATATATTATATAAGTGAAGTAAAGAGAACTACTGATTTGTGATATAATGTTACTTGTTTCAAGTTTCTTTCTCTCTTTTCCTTATAATTTTATTCTAGTTTTTTTAATTTAAAAAAAAAAAGATTTTTATTTGCGATTTTTATCGTTGTGCTAATTATTATTGAATTTTTAACGATGTATATACTCTTATATTTTAACTGTATTTAACAAATAGCAATTAGAGAAAGCAACTGTATGTAATAAATTTAACGATATATGGCTGTTTACATTAATCAATGTTAAACGATTCTGCAAACGGGAGGATAGATAAATTATTCGGTGACTTTTTCGCACATGTATATGAAGCGCCAGAATAATTGTTTTACGGGCGATTAATCGTTCGCAAGGATTAATAAAACGGGTTAACACATTGATTTCCGGTAATGGAAGCACTCAGGCGTTAATTTCGAATGATCATCACAGAGTCGTACCGTTAGCATCTCCTTCATCGTAAGCAATTTTACTTCCCGCCACGTGCCGGGAATTACTTAAGTCATGAGTAGTGAGTTAAAGCTGAATCGCTATACCGCGAGATATCAACCCGCTTGAAGGTTTAAGGGATCGTATACAGGAAAATTATTATAATGATACAACCTTTACAACGATTTACTACCGATTCTATCACATTTGGAAAATTTATTTCTAAAACTATAACTTAAATCTATATTTTAAAAAATGCCGATTACATGTTACTATCTACAGAAAGCTCTTCATTTCTATCTAAAAATATTTAATGCGGTTTAATAACATAATCTTCACTTTTGTGTATGCATACTTATTGCGGCATAAAGTGCCTCTTAGTCGAACGATTTCTAATGGCCGGCGATCTGGGTAGCGAGAGAATTTATCGACACCGGAAAATAAATACAACATTAATCTGCCGTAATTGCGCAACGAGAGTATCAGCAGCGCTAATTTACGGGCCTTATTACAGGCCGAGCCGAACCGAACCGAACCGGTTCCGAACGGAAGATTCGAAATTTACACTCTCTTAACGCTGATGAATGTTCTAATTGTATACTGATAATTTGGTACTGAGTATCGTGTAGCTGCTTCCTTCACTTTAATCACTCTTACAATTAATAACGAAGCGTAAGAGGGAGATAATGAATCAAAGTCAAAATATGACAAGCTATTACAGCAAAATTGTGCGAGCAACTTTTTCTCTCTTTGATACACTTATAATTAAATATTTATTTAATTATTAAAATGCTATTTAATATTATTAAATTAATTATTGTTAATTTAAGCTAATTGAGTTTTTTTATATCTACTAAAACGTAATATTACGCGCGCTACACGTGTCAAATGTTATGATATAACATTATTAGCCATAAAAATTAATAGAATGTACATTTTAACATTCTAGACTATTTCTTTCCTTAAAATATAAGATTTCAGCACATCGCAGTAAAGTTCTAAGTCTATCAAATGTGATGTAAGATTCTAAAGCATAAAAATGAATAAAATATACATCAATGTATATTTTATTCGTTTTTATGTTCTAGAATTTTATATCATATCATTTGACAAGTCTAGAACTTTACTGTGATACATTAAAATCTTCTATTTTAAACACAGAAATGGTTTTTAAAATTTAAGAATTTTAAAATATAAGATTTTAATATATCGCAATAAAGTTCTAGTCCTATCAAATGATATGATATAAAATTCTAAGGCATAAAAATGAATAAAATGTTAAAATGTATATTTTATTCATTTTCTTATGGTAGGCGTAGAGATAAAATATGTAAAAGAAAATTTAAAATAAAAAGCGCTGATTATAGGAAAAAATAAAAAATATTCATCGAAGACAAATTTTAAGTTAAATCATTGGAAAACATGGAAAAATTGTGAAGAAAATGTGAAAAAAAGAATAAAATAATAATTATCTAATAATTAATATTATTCACATGAAGAATAAAAAAATATTCCATTTTATTCTTCTCAAAAAAATACTCGCAAATTGCGATGAATACTTTGCCGAATATTGTTAAAGCAGTGTGTTATGACACTGATAACTGATAACGTCGTGTTCGTCGTTATCTTGCGAGTGTGAGCCAACCTAACCTAACCCGACTTGACCTGACCTGACCTGACCTGATCACTGTCAATGGTAGTCAACGGTTATGACGGATTGATGTGTCAACATTTTGTGTTATTCGAAATTAAGAATAACGTAAGTCGGTAAAAAAGAAGTAACGTCGACAAGATGTCCGGATACACCGGCCAAGATAACAATTATTGGGCGCAATCACCGCCGCAGGGACAATACAATTTCGATGCATCTGGTTTTGGACAGCTTAACCAACAATTCGAATTCCAGACGTACACCGAACAATCGCCCGGTGATTATTCATACTCGCAGAAGAGTTTCCTCGACCCGACTCAGAGTCCCTATAGCGGCAATTTATACACGCAGGACGATTACGCAAAAGGTAGAAAAATACTGCACCATGCATTGCACAATTATTGAATCCTCGATCTGGCAAAGTAATGTCAAGTTCATGATAAGCAAAGAAACATACATATTGCGTACTATCGATATATTATTCGAAGAAACCATTAAAAAAATTGATTATTATCAAAATGGATGACTTATCGATGTGCCAGAACATCTTATCCGAGGATTATGATATTGATTGTTACATAAGAAAATTCGGAAACATTTACTGTGCTCTTACAGGCACCACTGGCTTCGGAGATGAAGAAGACGAGCCACCGCTGTTGGAAGAGCTCGGTATTGATCCCGACAGGATAATGCAGAAGACTCTGGCCGTGTTGAATCCCTTCCATAGGAAAGGACAAATCGATGATGCCAATTATCTGCTGCAAGACTCAGACTTGGCCGGTCCTGTGGCATTCTGCTTGGTTCTCGCAGCATTTTTGTTACTTGCCGGCTCTAAGGCACATTTCGGTTATGTGTATGGTCTGGCTATGACTTCCTGTATACTTATGTACATTTTGCAATCACTAATGAGCAGCAGTAGTAATGTCACTTTATCCTCTGTCGCGTCTGTGCTGGGTTACTGTCTGTTGCCTGTGGTTGTTCTGGCCGGTATTGGCGTCTTTACCTCATTGCGAGGCCCATTTGGCTTGATTTCTGCTATCCTAGCTGTCACCTGGGCATCTCTATCTGCTTCCAGGCTTTTCTCCACCATGTCGGGAGAGGAAGATCAGAAACTTCTTATAGCATACCCATGTTTGCTTCTTTACGGTGTATTTACATTGATAATAATATTTTAGAAGTAAGAAGCCAATTGGATATTTCTAGAATTCATCTTTGATTTAACTTCTCTGAATAGAAAGCGCATAATTTATTCATGCATATTGGTAAAAATCGATGCCAATTATAATAATAAAATTTATTTGCGTTTATTTCTGTAATTACATGTATTAATGTGGATGTGGTGGATATGGACAGTTGATGCTGGTTTTTACACAGTTAATTTTGAGGAAGTAAATAATTCTTTTCTTTCGATTAATTTTCTGAAAACAATTTTCATCGAAGTATATTTTTGGAGATATGCTTATTTTAAAGAAACAAAAAATAAAGCGCACGAGCATACACTATATTAGCCCAAAAAATTTGATTAGCTTTGATAAAATCTCGATTTTTGTGCACATTTATGTAGATTAACTCTACAATGTTTATAAACAAGTTATTAAAGACTTTTTAATTCAAGCAATTAATTATGATAGACTCGTGTCTTTCAAAGAGCATTGTAATATACCACGATAATGTAATAAATTTACGAAGACAACAATAAAGACATATATTTGTATATCCTTGTAATATTGCAATATCTAAATAAATTGTTGAAAAATGAATTAAAATTGGAATCGTTATTCATCCACTATTCTTATATTTCTCAGATTTGATTCCTAAATTTTCGGCTTAAAGATGTCAAGTCCTTTGAAACTCTGATGGTTTTCTTTTCGCAGGTGTTCCATCTGATCCGGCACAAGTGCAACAACCAATTTTAGTTTGTACAGCCCATATCCATTGGGATCCGGAATTCTGCGATGTTAAACTAATACAAACGATGATGCTGAGCAATGAATTACGTTCCATTTTGGACCAAGCTGGCCAGTCGTTTAGACCCGGCCACAAGCCTGACTCTTCCAATGTTCAATTGTTGCTTTGTGGCGACTTCAATTCCTTACCTGACTCTGGTAATAATAGGGATAATTTCAATTGTTTTTCACACAGTTTTTTATGAAGTCACTAATTATTGTTGAAATAGTGAAAATAAAATTAAAATCAATAAATTACTACGCAGGTGTGATTGAGTTTCTTACATCTGGGCGTGTGGCGGCCGATCACCGCGATTTTAAGGACTTAGCGTACAAATCGTGTTTACAAAAGATCTCTGGCTGCGACAAACCCAACGAATTTACCCATTCTTTCAAGCTTGCATCTGCGTACAGTGAGGATATCATGCCCTACACCAACTATACGTAAGTATAATAAATAGAAATAAATAGAAATAATCTATTACTTTTCTGAGTAATATTAATAATATTCACTTCTATGTATAATAAATTCGGATAGTTAATACACTTTTTTTATCCCATGTTTTAGATTCGAATTTAAAGGCATAATAGATTACATTTTCTACTCGAAACAAAGTATGGTGCCTCTGGGCCTTCTAGGTCCATTGAGCCCAGAATGGTTTAAAGAGCACAAAGTGGTGGGATGTCCTCATCCTCATGTCCCATCTGGTAAGTTGGTTTTTTATTGCCTATTTTCAACAATTCATTCTTATTAATAAAGTTGGAGATAATGACATTTCATATATTCTGTTTCAGATCACTTTCCTCTGTTAGTGGAGTTGGAGATGACACCGACAGTAGGAACAAGCAATGGTTTGATCTCACGTAGGTAGCAACCGCTGCGATCTAGGCCTAAGTAACCGTAAGAAGACAAGGACTCAATAACGAAGATAAAAAGGAAAAAAGGATTTGCATCACTTCTTCTCTATTTACTTCTGGCTCTAGCAATATCACTCGCAATCGACTATTATTCTTATTATAATAGCGATTATAATGTTACACACACAATACTCCATGCATTGCCGCACATTCAATCAACACAGCGCTCGCTGTTGACGGAACACCGACGAATACACGATTCTAACGACCAGGTGAAGGGAGCCGTGTTGTAATGCGTTTAGCTAGCCCATGTATAGTATATTGCATTTTTAAGAGCTAACTCCCACACCTAAAGATTATTGTAAACCTCTCTATTTACCATGGTAATATGTAGATACCTATTTTCCTATAAAAAAAAAAGTAAAAACGAGAAAACGACGATATTCCGATCAAGAAGCCTCTGTGATATCGACATTTAACACAATTGGGACAAATTCACATATTTACTACTACTAAACGAAACTAGTAGCGTCTTACTAGAGCGAGACATTACACCTTAAACGAATTTCCCACCCTCCCTTCCTAAATGTCATTACAACATTCTCCAAGCCAATCTTTTGATAAGAATGCTGCCATCCAATTAGAAAAAAAAAGAAAAAAAATTGTATTTTTAAACAAAATGAAAACAAAAAGATATGAAAACATACATGCTATACTGGGCTGTGCGAAGTGATTGGAGTGATTGACTTAAAACAATTTCAATGCAAGTACAAATCTGTTCTTATTGGCCACGTATATATTGATATAATATGATAATGTTATATAAGAAAACAAGAAAACATAGATGATATTGTAGCGAGTGTATTTGTAAGTATGGGTATAATGTAATGACGTTCATCACACATATACACACACACATACACACACACTCACACACGTCTATCATAGCGTCAGGTAAGAATCAGTTTCACATTCGCTCACATTTTTAGGTATTCGTTCGCGGTTCTAATTATCGATGTATATTATCGTTTCTGCATCACAATCTACTACTTGTTAATTCAGTTGCCACCGAAAAATGCGAGAAAGAAATTTGTACAACTGCGCGTGAATATTTTCGCGTTTCCTCCAACACTGCATTTCTACCCGTGTGACATTTTATTTATCGCTTTTCTTTATTAACTTGCAGCATACAGCTGCAGTCGGAGCTACCAAAATATAGATTTTAAAACTACCTTAGTTATCATAGGAAATGTATTAGATTGTTTTTAAGAATATTATGAAGTACGCAATGAGGAATGTGCACAATATGTAGTGCAAATATTCTTGCACGTTAAATTTTTCCTTCGAAAATTCACCGAGAATTTTCTATTGATTTGTTTAATACTTTTTTTAAATGCAAATAATTGGAACGTGCAATCTGTATTTACAATCTTTTACGCAGATTTACATTGATTCGGGTAAAAAGTTTACTAAAATGGGGAAGATTGGTACTTTTTTTTAATGCTGTACATAATTTATTCCCTAATTTTATCTTTTGCAGCAATTGTTAAAATCCAAATATGTAGATATAATTTTCCTTACCTATGTATTGTAAATACGCGATAATGGGATTTTGCAATGCACATATAACGCCATTCTGTACTTTAGAACGCATAATGGAAATTTGTTTTAAATACTTAAAAATACTGTGCACATATTCTGTAGTGGCATTACGCAGGATTCGATATCTTGCTTTGTGTGTGATTTTATCATTTCTTTTTCCGAGAAAATATAAAAATACCTATATTTTTCGCGCACTAATTACATGTCATTCTTTTCTCTAAAACACATTAAACTAATAATTTGTAAAAGATTTTTTTAATGCGATAAATGTAATTCTTAATATGAGTTCCAATATTATCAAATGCACACCCACAAAGCAGGATAACAGTTGCATGACCGGTATTGAATATGTTCGAGAAGATACGTAAGTTTATAATTCATAAATATTTTATGAATATATAGTGTAGCAATTGATCTCGTTGTGTGACAGATAAATAAGGACGTAATTTTTCTTTTGTAGATGTGAAAAATGTTTCAACTTGTATATTAATTTGCGGAGTCCCCCCCCTCCCCCCCCACCAACTGAATTACACAAGTAAAAGATTAGTTTATCAAAGACATGTGTGTAGTAAATGTTGTAAAAAATAGATAATTATGCTGTTGTAGTTTTAATTATCTCGATGAAAGAGGTGGCATCTCTTCGGTATTTGTATATTCCTTCGTCTTAAGCATGTTTTCTCACGGCAAGCGAATGATGTAGTTTATTAGGATCGATTACCGGCTACTTTGGGCCTAATTTAAAACCCTTGGAAAAAAACAAACGATGTGTAAGCAAGGTGGCGAACTTTTCTTCAACAATGATGACAAAATTTGGAAAAATCTTAATTTGTGCTATCTTAAAAGAAAAAAGGCGCATGATAATAATCACTTTTAACTCGCTCCTCTTTTTAATATTGCGATATGTATCACGTAGCAAAAAAAAATAGATTACAATTTGTAACGTCTCCTAACTAATCTATCAAGTGTGGAAATGTATTTTCAGCATGAAAGTACCTATGTTTTTTCCGCAGCAAATCTTTCGACAGATTGAACAATCATGATCATTGCGCGAAAAATCTTTCTTCGGAATAAAAGCGACGCAATTTTGCAAAAATTAGTTTGCCAACAATTACCGCGGACACGCGAAAAATAGCGCACAAATCATAATTTTATCAGCAATATTTAAGATTGCATGGGTATTTTCATCGCTTGATCCATAAAGATCACTCTGTAATTGTCTCTTATCTACTAGCAAAGAAAAAAGAAAACGAAAAAAAATATGAGTGTATACGTTGTATCGATCGCTATTCGATTCTTTTTAAATACGTGGATACATGGATTACGTTTTAGAGTAAATGTAACGATTAATTGTAATATGTGCGATGGGAAAGTAGCGTTGGGATTTTGTTTGATCGTTCTCCGACGACGCGTATAAAATCAAAGCGGTTTATCTAAAAAAAGAAAAAAAAGGTGCACATATGGCACATGTAACGGCATTTTGTTTTGTGAACAAGAAGAACGAAACGAGTTGGTTGGGTGATAAACACGTGCTCTCATGCATTTTTGGCTCTCACACGAAGCCGCCTGCGCCATAGTATTTCGGATATATTAGCTTGAAGCTTTGAAGTAATGGAAGCTCGAGAAGATTAATGATTCAGATATACTTTAACTTAGATTACGAGCACTCTCGCACACGTCGCATTCGCGGTGATTTTACGAAACGACATTTCGATGATCGATCTCGATTCAACATCGTAGAAGGAAAAGTTGACAGTTTATTCGTGAAAAGAATACATTTCGTCAGAAATGTTTCGTGCAATTGATTTGCACTTTGATGAAGTGACGTCTATCTCTTTAAATTTGTAGATAATAATCTAAACGGATTATTATATTTGTCATCCAGAATCAGTGAGTACACTCATTACAGTACACATTATCGCGCTATTCCGTCGTTTCTGAAATCGCCAATTTTCTCTCGGAACGCTAATCGTTCAACGAGAATAATTTTATCACGTACGATCGACACGCAAAAGTCATTGCGAAAAAGTGCAACGGTTAATGATGAATGAATAAATTATCACCAGAAATTGTACGCTGTAACATTATCTTATAATTAGGGTAACGTGTTCTCTCGTTTTTTCTGTAAGGCACATATGTAGCGACATTTTAAGGGAGTTATGCACATGTACTATAACAAAAGTTTGATGAATCCTGATTGAATGTGGCTTTCTCTTCCGGTGTATTATTAACGTCGGACGACAATTTGTACATATGTTTTTTTATTGATATCTTGTCGTTCGAAAATTTTTTAGAACTTAATACGCATAAATATTAACGATCCCAGTAACAAAACCCTAGATATCGTACCGGAATAATGCGTGACGTATATTAAAGTAGATCTAGATATTTAAAGTAGATCTATACAACACTCGGAATAAGTTGATTGTAATCGCAGTTGCATTGCAAAAGATTATGGCACTTTTAACTGGCTAGTTTTAAATAATTAGCGGCTTATCATAGCAATATTTCTAATTGTGCTATCTATATAATTTTTAACGCAATTTATTGTATTATTTTATATTCTAAAATATTTCCAAAATTTTGCAATTTTTGATTGGTATAATATTTCGTTTTAGCAATTTGATATCGTTAAATTATAATTCTTTTGTAATGTGTAATATTTGGTTTCTACAATATAAATGATACATGATATATTATCACTGATGAGGAGTAAGATATTTATCTAAGCTTGACAATAAATAGAACAGTCGTAGAGACTATCTTTGTAATCATTTAACAAAATCATTCAATAAAGAATGATTTGTAGTGCTCTTGCAATGTCGGTGATAGGCTGCTGGCCTACAATATTTTATCATTTTATTGAAAAAGTTGTTTTAAATATTTAAATAATTCTTCACTTTCTCAATCATATTCAAAAGTAACGTTTTATCTTTATTTGCGAAAGATGTGTAAAATTGTAATTTATAGTCGTATGATCTTATAAAAACCTAATTTATTAACGCGTTCTGATAGCACCGTGTGCGAAAATGTTTTTATTCCACTTTTCTATTTAAAAAGAAAAAAGAAATTTGTAAGGTGCCAATCTTGAGAGTAATGCATCTTGAGATACTGTCTGATGCATTTTCAGACATTGTCCCTTCAGAACTGCAATTGCATTTGCGAGGAGGTGCAATGAAGTGCGTAGTTTTATAGTATCATACTACATGGCTCTAAATAAACTCTGAGAATTCAAATTTGATAAGACGTCGATGTAAATTAGTATTATTACCGGTATTCAAGATATTAAACAAGCGATTAAATAAGGATTCATCAAACTCTAGCATATAATAACGTAATCTTTATCTATACATTGTCACTAAATTGCTTTAAATCGAATTAGCGAAGAAAAACACCATTTAAGCTTTTAAGAAATCTCGAATAGTGCATTACGCACTTTTTTTCTGAATACATTAATTTTTAATCTGAGCTCCTACACAACAGCGCATTCAATTTTAATTTCCTCTTTTTTTTAGGTATTACTTAATATTAAGTAGATATTTTTACTTTAATCAATGGAGATAGCAACTTTTTAAAATCTTGTACAATGTGAACGCTGTGTTTTGTTGTTCAAAGTATTTAGCATACTTTCGATTTAATTTCGATTAATACAATTAGGATCAATGCCCGTAATTCTCTTTATAATTGCACGGGCGTATTACATAACGACTTAAGGATATACATAAATATATAAACATGAAAAAAGACGCTATACGCGCAATTAAACATAGAATAATATGTGATCATCGATTGGTTTACTATCTTGTAAATTGGATATAGTCTGTGTAAAATCAAACAAATTGGATTTTAAATTTTAAATTTCTTGCTTGTGGTACATTTTATTACTTTTAATTTCCAGTGATCGTAATATAATTAATTACATTTAATTATAATTAAATGGTAATATTATTGTGCATAAATAATCATTTATGAAGATCGCTTTCTAATAAAGACGCAATTAACATTATTTCTAATGCAAAAAATGCGATTTTTAATCAATTTCAATCAAGATTTGATATTATAAAAATTAGTAAATAAAGTAATACTGCATGAACATTGAAAGATGTTCATAATTATAAAAATGTACTGCAAGCAATGAAATGCGACATATTGAGATATCTAAAATTTTACATTTTTGTATTGAAAAAAACGTTTTAGATTCAAACCTTATTATTCTATATAGCATTGTGATTATAGCGTCAAAGTTTGACTTCCATAGTTAAGAATGCTAAGTTGTACTAGGATATAACAAATACAAGACGAGCACAGCACATTTCAGCCTGTACTTTTATAAAAAGAGCGATCAAAAAAAAAACGTAGACATTGGAACACAATTGTTGCGTCCATCATCCATAAGATCAATTACATCTTTGCGCTTAAAAGTCCGTAAGTTCGATTAGATTTCGTGTAAGCTCTTTCTCTTTCGAGAATCTATCATTCGTACCAGAAATTTCTCATCCAAGAAGATTTATTACTTGATTCTCGCACAAAGTAGACACACTTTAGACTGCCAACGAAATCGTTATTATAACAGAATTAAATTCTCATTAAGAATAATTATAAATAATGTGAAATAAGTTTAAATCGTATTACGATTGAAATAATATGTAATATTATCTACCTATAATTATTATTATAAAATAATGTGTTAATTTGTTAAAATATTCATTTCAAGAATAATGTTGAAAGAAAGTAATTTCTTATTAAGGGCATTCATTATTTGATACGAACTATGTGCTTATATCCGTATCGTCATTGTAGACCATAAGCGGGCTACATAACTTTTACGTAACATTTCGGTTCATTTTATAATAATTTAAAAACGAGCGAACATAGCGTGGATATCAAGTAATAGCATTCTTCTTTATTATCAGACACATCCATGTAGAATAATAATACTCAAAGTGAAGTAAAAAAAAGTACAAATGTAGCAGAAAAGAGCTACATGATCCTGATTGAACGCTGGACAAATACATAAGAATTGTAAAGGCATATAACGAAGGAGAGAGTGTGGTCTAGTAGAAAATATGTAAAATTATTATACTATACGAGTCTGAATGCTCCGTCAGTCTGCTCTTGAATATCCTTTGTAGTTTTATTTGAGTAACCCTTTTGTAGTATGATGTATGATTTCTCTTTTTATTATAAAGATGCAATGATTGTATATGGGCTGCGTTTGAGTCATGATCGAATGTAACGATTTATTATAAGTAATGCAAAATAAATGGATGACAAGCAAGAAATTAAAAATAAAAAAGGTTGTACGTTTCTTCTCTCCTTAAATCCTCCTTAATACTTAAAAAAAAAAAAACAACAAATTCTGCAATATTAATTTATGTTTCATGTTGAATTATATATATATAAATTTTCTATTTTATGTTTCAAGTAGCAAATAAACCTTAAAATAAAGTAATAATCAAACAGTTGGGTCATGTCATATAATAAGATTTATTTTACACTGTTATGAATCATATAATATAAATATTGGAAATTATTATACAAGTGAAATCTAATTTGTTATACATATATCAAGCTCTTATATATATTTAAATATTACATCTTGTTTACTATTGGTTGTGACCAATTCCACTTTAATAGGGCACTGCAGCCAGTAACTCAGGAGTTCCTCCGTATAGCCAGTTAAGAAATATATCTTATAAGGTACAATAGTACGAGTTATAATTCCACTTATCCTAATAATGTTATGCTGCCGCTTAATAATAATTTCACTCGCAAATAAATTGTGCCAGGTTCCTCTCATGAATTGTCGAATGAACATATCTTCTACGGCTGTCTCAGCTGGTCTATTGCCATCCTTAATATTCGCTAAATAAGAAAAATTAATAAAATGTAAAAAATTGACACATGTATATTTATTATAAAATTGTTTTTATTACATGTGTTCCATGCGTTCCAGGATTTTCTATGAGCAATATAATGAGGTGGATTTGCCATTTCATATGTCAATGGCTTGTCTCTATTAATCGTAACTTTATACTTTCCAGACTGTGATCTGTTAATGACTGTGCTTGTATGAAAATGCCTTTGCATAAAAGTTCGTTGAACAATTGGCAATACCTGATAAATAATGATAGAATATTATTTTTAGATATGTTATTATTATTAATTATATGTCACATAATTAAATCTCATAATTATGATAAAATTTTATAATTAATATAAGAGTATAAAATATAATGTATAGTAAGTATTTATTGCTCATATTTTATTGTAATTATTATTTATTATATTATAATCCTTGCACATAATAGAAAGACAAAAAATTTAATATCAGCAAAAATTAATAGTTAAAAAGTTGAAGAGAGGTTATAAACAAAAAGCTTTATGAACGAGTTAATTTCACAATATAAAACTTGTGACAATAAATGTCAATACATTTTTCGTATATTTTAATAAAACCATTTCGCTATTTCAATTTCCAATCGGTTGTAAAACAATTTGTAAACTCCGTTCGACGATATCACAAGCAACAACAAGCACAACAAAACTGAGACTTAATGCCGCAACCAGCATTGCCATCTGGCCGACATTGCCAAAAGACTTGATGTTGATGTCATTTAGCGCGATATTTTAAAACAAGAAAATTTTGTTTGCAACTGCTAATTACAATTTTTTTGTATGCATATACAAAATATTTTATTATAAATATATTGTATTTTTGAAATTAATTATTTTACAATTTTTTACAGTTTTATATATTACAGATTTTTAGAGTGACAAAAAAAAGTTGATGTAGATTTATCAAAATCAGATACTTCAATTTTAAAATGATAAATGTAAGAAAATATAAATAATAATAATTAAGATTTAAATTACATGACACAATATTTACATACACGCACACACAACAATTATCCCATTAATAATTAGAATAAAATATAAAGCATATTTTCAAAAAATTTTATGGAGAATTTCAGAATAAACTAAAAAAGAGAATCTTTGAGAAATCAAGTCTTTGGAAGTCATTTGAGTGCATGCATGTATTGTGAAAAATAGATAGTTGCATGCACGTGAAAAGATAAAATGGAAAAGTGTGAAGGCAATGGAAAAAGTGATAAGGTGATTTTATAATTAATATATAAAGAGAAAGAGAGAAAAACAAGACGTTTTGATCTTATATGAAGAGCGATAAGCATAAGGGTAAAGGCCAATGTAAAATAAATATTGCTCGTGGCGAGCTGACGAATAGGCTGACTTTAAAGGTATATTACTACTCGTCGTTAATATTTCTAAAATACATAAAAATGTGTTAAAATTGCGTAGTATATACATTCTAAAAGAAAAATGAGTAGTAACGATTACAATCGTCAAATGTTAAAAATAGATATCGTCAACTTTAGTAATTGTACATTTTTCATGTTGATTTAAGAACGATATAAGTTGTCATCATTAATGCGCTCATCGTGATAAAACTACTCACGATGCTCTAAAAACGAGTTGTCACGCTACTATACAAGGGTATAAAAAACACTATTCCATAAAGCTTTTCAGTTTAAATATATTTAGACATGTATCTATATGTAAAAGAAAATAAATATGTATAATCTAATTATATATTCATCTAACATATCAGTGTCAAAATACCAACTAAATGTCACATGATTGACGACACGTTAAATACACAATAAAAAAAAAGAACATCTAACATATAATATATAAAAATAAAGAACTGTACATGATATTATTTTAATTTAAGAAGAAAAGTAAATATATTAATTAATAAGTAAATTAATATATTTATTTTTATAATAATTTATAATAAAATAATGAATGTGTGTGTGTGTGTGTGTGTGTGTGTGAAAAGAAACACACAAAAAAATAGACTTTATTTGCGGTGTGAGAGATTTTTCCGTCTGATCGCAAACGTGTTGTTTATATGAGGTCTTAAAAACTAGGACAATGTGCGAAACTGCGAAAAAGCACGCAAACAAATGCGAAAAGGGTGTTAACGGAAACGTACCTTAAAGACGAGGAAAAGGATAGAGAAAAAGCGAGCGCGGGAGAGGCGTGTATGGGAAAAGAACAGCAAGGAGATAGAATAAAGCGAACGAGATAGAGGGAAAACGAAGAAGGATGACACTGGACGAGTGAGGGAAAAGTGAGGGAGAAGGGAGTAGAAGGCCACCGAGTGACATGGAAGGACGAGAGAGACAGAACGAACGAGAGGAAACGTAAGGGAGATGGCAGGATCGGCTCTTCTTTTTTTCTCTTGAAAATAAATTTTTGATCAGACAGATTTTTGTAGATTCTGATACTTCACTCTGTTATTTTATAAAAATTTTAGGACGATTTAAATTTACGATTATTTACGATTTAAATAGCGAAGAAGAATTTGTACTATATAAATATATTAGGTGTGTTAAATGTAGTTTTCAAATTATAGAAAATGACAAATAAATTACAATCTTATTTCTAAACTTACGATACTATTCTAAACTAAATCTTACGATACTATTTTTTAACATTTGTATGTTACGAATCAAAATAATCTCTTTGACAACAGCCGAACACGTGCTTTCTCTGTAGGTAACTAGAGCCAGCCCTGAGAGAGGGAGCGATGGATCAAAGGGGGATGCCGTCAAGTAGAGGGAGGGTGATGAACCGAGTGGGGGTCGATCGCACGGAGGAGAATCGTGAGAGAAAGAGAAACCGATGAGGCTACCTAAAGGTGGGAGTGCGAGGTACCGAGCGGCGGTGAAGAGGCGGAGAGTCTGGAAGAGGGGGGCGAATGCAGGGGTGGCGGAGCGCGCAAAGTGCAGCGCGGGGGCAGGCGATGGTCGCGACTTGCTGGCAGTCTCGTTGATCCGGTTGCGAGCAGTGTGCGCCGTGACGTGACAATGGCGGTAGTCGTAATTGCGGAACGGTGCGTTACTGTGATCAGC